CATGACCTTGAACTGAAAAAGGCCTAGGCCTGGCACAGTGAAGGCGGTCACGGGGCGACTGTCGACGGCCAATGGCACTTGCCAGTAGCCTTGCTTCAGGTCCAAGGTACTGATAAACTTGGCCTGCCTGAGCTTCTCAAGGATGGCGTTAATCCTAGGCAGAGGATAGGCGTCCTTGATCGAGGAGTCGTTCACCCTGCGCATGTCGATGCAAAAGCGGTATTTCCCAGTCGACTTCCGGATCAACACGATCGGAGAGCTCCATGGACTCTCGGATGGTTCGATTACGTCATCCTTCAACATGGCAGCTACTTCATCGTTGATGACCGCTTGCATTGCAGGGTTACGAGGGTAGTGGCGCTGTTTGATCGGGACTGCGTTTGGTTTGAGCCGAATGACATGCTCAGTCAACGCCGTAGGTCCCACAACAGCATCGAAGAGAGGAAGTTCTTTCTCGAGAAAATTCTTGAGATGTTGTTCTTCCTTAGACGTCAGCGGTTCCAGTGTGCCCGTCGCACAAGGAAGTGTCGTGGTCGTGTCGAAAGTGCCATCGTGGTTGACGTTTATTCGTATGAGGTTAAGGTTTCGAATACACCTCATACCCAATACGACGTCCGTGGTGAGCCCAGGCACAAAATAGGCTCCGAGTATGAGGTTTTCACCTAAGATCTGGGCCGGGATGTGGTACTTCGTCTCAATCCGACAACGTGTACCATCAGCCATCCTCAGGTCCGCCGAAGATATCTCAGGTTTTACCCCACACTCGTCGAAGTGACGAACAACCTCATCCCCGACGAGGTTTACAACTGCTCCGGTATCCAACAGAGCGTGAAATCCCTTTCCAAGGAGCGTGACGTCGACAAAAGGTCGGATGTCTGTCGGCTCAGACGATTTTCCAGCCGACACGTACGAGGTGCTCACGTAATTGAGCTCGGTAGAGGTCATAGATGGCTGCGCTGCGGGCTCAAGTGACCTCACGATGCCTGAACCCGATTCAGTGAAGGCCGTTATGTACTGGAGCCATGAGCTCCATTCTTCGGAGGTAGTGCAGCCACGGGACGTGGGCTCAGGCGACCTCCGGCGGCCTGAGTCCGTCTGGCGTTTCCCGCGCGACAACCGCAGCTCGTAGTGGCCACTCCTACTTGTTTGCAGTAGTAACACCGCAACACCTTCGGCTGAGTACAATCCCGGAAGACATGTCCGCGTGCATCACAATTCCAGCAGATCGGAGGGTTGCGGTTACTCGGTGATCGAGGTGGGCTCGTAGACGGTAGGCCCCAGTTTCTATTGTTAGGAACGCTGGCGGTCGTATGCTTTGGCTGGTTACCCCCGATCCTCGCAGGGTTATCACCAGTGCGGCCGGTCTTTGGCGAGGTAGGTTGCGGTTTACGGTCGGGCTCAGAATAGTCCATCACCGCAACATCGACAAAACGGTCCGTTCGACGCCTGGGCGTGTAGGCAGTCTCAGGTACCAATGCTTGAGCGACTGGAGGGGGAGGGCGGAACAGCTTGCGCTCCCGTAGCAGCTCCTCGTATTCGTCGGCTCGCTCGATGAGGTCGGGTAGCGTGACAAAGTCATGACGTCGTATCATGAACTTGTATTCCGGCCTCATGTTCAAGTACACCAGGTCGATGGTTTCCTGGTTAGAGAACGTGCCGCTCCGTCGGATCAGGGTTGTCAGAGCAATAACAAAATCTTTAAACGACTCTGTTTCACCCTGAGTGCGCTTCCGTATTTCGTCATCCAAGTGTCGATGATAGCCGGCAGGGAAGAACTGGACCTCGAATGCCCGCCTAAAATCGTGGAAGGAACGCCACATCATTTTGTTGTTCCTGTACCAGAGGAGAGCTTGGCCATGTAGAAGTGAAGGCAACGCCCGTAAAACGTCTTCTGGCGACAGGGAGTAGGCCTCCCGCAGCTCCTCTAGACGCTCCAGGAACGAAACTGCATCTCGTCTACCGTCGAAGCGCAAGTTCCACTTCCGGACCTTGTCGCAGAGGGCGGACGACGTTTTAGCAACATCGTCAGGTCGGTCATCACTCCGTAGGACATACGACGACCGGACACCTCCGTATTCATCCCTTGTTCGAGACGGGACTGGGTATCGGGAGGTTAGCTGGTCGATCTCGTGTACTGGAAGCTCAGCGTAGTCCTCATCACGTCGTGAGCCCCGCTGTTCGAGGTTCAACACCTCGGCTAACGTTTGCTCCATGCTGCGCAGGTCGGCATTGGGCGGTAGGCCTAGCATTTGGCGTATGCGGTCCAAACTTCGATGTATTGGGTCCTCGAAGGGGTATTCCCGAGGCAGAGACCCTTGAGCCGAGTCGAAGGTATGCTGGGCATCAGTAACGTCCTCTTGTCCGGCGAAGGACAGTTCGTGCGGTGCCGAGGTGACCGCAGCAGGTGGGCTCTGACGCTGGAACGTAGCCCTGGGTAGGCCTACGAGTCCATAGGTACCGGGTGGCCTCCACGCAGTAGGATGATGAATGGACCCCGTTCGGTAGTCAAAAGGCGATGGGCGTGGAGTAGAATCATGCATCGAAGTTCGGGCCTGGTTATCTAACACCTGGCCAGTCATAGGCACCTCCTCCTGGGAGGTTGCGGGGGTCTTATCACCAGCGTTGATCCGCCAGTATAGGCAAAGGCGCCTGCGAAGTTCCTCTACCGTGCCATGGGTGGGTAGGTCGAGTCGCTCCACCTCAGCAATCAACTGTAGTTTAGACAACCGGTAGATCCATCCAACGCGAGGATCTTCCGTTGGGGCGAGCGGAGCGGAGTAGCCGGTCGAGGTCATCGGTCGTGTGTACACCGTCGATGTGGTGGTAACCGTCGATGCGCAAGAGCAGGTGGGGATAACCGATGACGTAGTCACCACGGCACCAGCCGTGGTTAGAACTCCTGGCGTCGTACAAACTTCAGGGAGCGAGTTAGGCATAGCTGCAAAGTATTAGTGCACAACAAAACAAACAAATTGCAACAATAATTTAAAAGGCTGAAATTGATTAACAATTATGAAAAATCCACAATAAACCTATCTAAATTCAAGCCTAACGTTGAACAGAACTATCTAAGTCCAAACGAGACAACTTAAAAAAAAAATTTTTTTTTTTTTTTTCAGCCTAAGTCCCAACCAGGTACTCAAAACCCAGAAAATTTGTTAAAATAGGACCAAGTCCAAACTGCTCCAAAATCCAATAATAAAAAGGCTAAAATGCAATAGGCTACTGTAAAGTAAACGTTTTACCTGAAATAAATAGGCTATCACACAAATAGGCTAAAATATTAAACGCTAAACACCAATAGGCCTAGGCTAGCAATAGGCTACAGTGACGAAACTAGAAAATATTTAGGCCTAAGCTACCTAATTAACTAGAAATGCTAGGCTAGAACGTTAACGTAGAATAAAAAATAACAGTAGGCCTAGGCGAATACTTGAAAGGCTAGAGCGGTTAACGTAGGCTAAAATCTTACAACTCGACGTCAGCTGCTACAGCGATCTTAGCTTGAGCTCACCAAGTACTATCAGACTATCCAATCACTGGTCCCTGTTCGGGCGCCATTTATGTGACGTAATTTTCCTGGCGGACGACAAGAGGTAAATTACGCCACCGGTAAGAAAACGAGATCCCAGGATTCGCCCTAGTCTGGTCGCGGGGAGTTTCCCAGGAGTCGATAGTGATTCGGATAGCCTAACTTTGATAGCCCTGGTTGTCAGAGCTCGAGACGAACGTTGCGGGTTACTAAACACCCTACTCGAAATCACCACTCTAGCCTAGGGCTTGTGGGGAAATAAATAATTTTGACTTGACTCTGTGGGCAAATATCTAAATGACACACTACTAGCTAACTTAACAAATCAACAAGTAAGCTAAGTAGGCACTCCGCTTACCTACGGAGTTACGTCGTCACCCTGAAACAAACAAGGTTAGTACAAGATAGGCCTAACCTAGCCTAACTCCCACAGAGTCTGAATTTACTAAAATGATAAGAAAACAAGTTAGCCTAAGTGATCCAGGTGAGGAACGAACAAAAAAAAAACGAAACTAAAAAGGTGAAACTGCTCCTTGAGCCAAAAACGAAAAACTAAAACTTTAACTTCCTCACGTGTTCAACTTAGACCAACTTCGACAGAACTTGTCCAGCAGAAACCTGTCTGCTGGAACAGACTTTGGTACGTCTGGGGAACTTTAAAAAAGGGGTTTTCAGAATTAAAAAAGAAAGTCCCAAGACGGATTATGAAACGTAATTGAAAATATATTTCACCAACTGCAGTACTTTACTCAAATTGTTGGTTAAGGCGTATGACTAGGTCTGCGAATCAGGCCTAGCCTTCAAGTTCAACCAAGTTAAGTACACGAAAACTGGTCAAATAATATACAATAATCTGTAAGTTAGTTACAAAACTTACCCGATGACGAAATTATATCAAAATATTCACTACGAAACAATACGTACGAACTTAAGCTTTCAGAGCTTGCGATACGAACTTAAACTTGCACGAATTTTCGAGAGCGAACCAAAAACGAAACAAACTTACGAAAAGCCGGGATTACGAATGACCAAAACTTCACAAAACTTCTTCTTACTTCACCTTCGTCTCAGAATCGAGACGAAAGTTAAAACGATTCCTGATTGGTCAACGAGTTACCGAAACAAAAAAAAAACTGGCAGCGAAGGCAGGCGCATGGCAGCTCTAACAGGCTTTATAGCTGCCTCGCTCACAAGGTGGATCAGCTGCTCATTATTCTCTCCCGTAGCCCGCCCTCAGACGCAGTCGAACAACCCAAACAACCAAACTGACACCAACGTCGTCTGCGGTCTTGGTATTTGAGGTTAGGTACGATGTCAGTTTAGTGTCGCGACTAGGCTTACTCAACAGCTTATGTTTAGCTGTTTAAAGTTCGTGGTTTAGCCGTTATTTTACCCCCTACACATTTGAACCGTTACAATCTAAAGGAAATATAAAGGTAGAGATGATTTCAATAGAACAAATCGTCACCTTTCTCCTGATCAGCTGTGCCCTGACATGGGCCTCGATGATGTGACTCTTCCTCATATCTCCCACCCGGAACATGAGACAGAGCTCCCCGTCTCTTTGACAGATGACGGCGTGTCTGCTGAACAGCAAGGTCTGGGTGCGTTTCTTGGGGCGAGACAGCTTGGCGAACACCACACCCACCATGAACGCTTGGATCATCACTCCCGTGATGCTCTGCAGACACATGACGAAGATGGCGGAGATGCAGTCCTCTTGGGTGACCCGGGAGCCGTACCCTGTAAATTAACAAGGTTGAGATGGAAGTGGTGATTTTGGTAAGAGAAAGTTTAAAGAAGGTTTATCGAAGGGTTGAACTAAGGAGGTTTTTTTCGATTCCCAAGAAAATACAGTTTCAGAAAGGATGAAATTGGAAGAGACGCAGCATGGTGGTGGAAAAGAATGTTTATGAAACACCCTGAATCCTGAAAAGGTGTACAAATAAGGGAGATCTTGAAGTGAAAATGTAGAAAAAACGTGTTTAGGGGATGAATTCTTTTGTTGCAGCAAAAGGGCTGCAGGTTTTCAGAAATAATGAGAAGAAGAAGATTGCTAAATAGAAGAAAGGATATTTGTTTGATATATATAACTTTTTATAAAAAAAGTTAAAGGACGTTCTATTCAATGCTCTATACAATGGCAATACAACAATTAAGATTGTAACTAGAGTATTCTGTAATGTAACAGTGAAGATACAGTAGAACCTTAATAATAAGTCTCTCGTGGAGATGTTAAAAAATATCACTCGTTGTCAAGGTTGACTCCTTATCGTGATTTGCAGTAGCAAAATAATGTTCTACTTGCAATAACATGTGGTAATTAAGGGTAGAAAAAACAAGGTCATTTAAAAATGGCATTATAAAAGGCCTTTTGCTATCGTGGGTTTCTTATTGAAGTTCCACTGTAGTGTCTATAAATTGTACTGAATCAGTTTGTTACAATAAGTAAAAAAATCATCTTCCTAAAAACCACACACCATAGACAAATAGAATTAAATATAGACTGACAGCAGTGCTGTGGTTAGCATATGTTCTGGCGTCCACCGCTAGGAGTGTCGTGTAGTTGAGGCGCGCTCGCTACCCAACTCCACGGCACTCCTAGCGGTAGACGCCAGAACATATGCCAACCGCAACCACAGCACTGCTGTTGGTCTAAATTTAATTCTATGTGACTATGCACACACCTATCGTATGCTGCGTCTCCACGCTGAAGAGGAAAGCGCTGGTGAAGCTGTGTACCCCCGTGACGCAGTGTTGTACTGCTGACGTCACCAGCGGCGTGGTCGTGTTGACGTTGTAGGGGTCACTCGGGTCACCCGGGTCATCTGGGGCTCCTATGACGTCACGGTGGAGAAACACGATTGTCCACCAGACTATGGCGAACCCCAGCCATGACAGGAGGAAGCTGCAGGCGAAGACGAGGAGGGTCCAACGCCACTGGGCGTCAACCAGGGTGGTGAAGATGTCCTGGAAGTGAAAAGAAAGATTTGGAGATAATTGCAAAAGAAAACGCAATGTAAATTGAAGACGAAGACACCGTGGCGATAAAAATTTTCTTGAAAAACGATATTAGGATATTAAGTACCGAATAGCGTAATAGGTTATTTGTAAAAAAAACAAATAGCCGTATGAAGTAAAGTTAAGTACTTTGTTAAAGTACGTTAAACAATCGTATGCTATTTTATATTTGATTTGAACAAAAAATCGCTAGATTAAGATGCACTTCTTAATAATAATATAATTTACTTTCACCACACCAAATACTAAGTAGACTGTTATACTTTTTGGTTTAACCTCTGTAAAAAACCAAATAGCTGTATGCACACTGTAAAAAAAGGAGAAGCATTCAATTGACACAGAATTAATCAAGGCACACCCAACACAGACTCAACATACAAGGTTTTACAAGGTTTTTTTAACAGTGCTCGTATACAAGATCCACGTGCAATATATAAATGAAATTGTAATTGATAATATGTAGATTTAAAATATGTACAATTTGGTCAAAACTGTGTGTACAATTTAACAAAAAACACAAACACAAAATCAAAACCAATTTTTCTCAATCCAAACAATAGAAGTAATTGTGATGTTTTCATTTACGTGTCTAATTAATGATAATTTTGAATTTTAATTATAACTTTTAAGTCCTAAACATTTTTTTTATACTCTTCATTGTTAAAATCCACAACAGAAGACGACATACAAGGGTCAATGAACTTGTTGGGGACGATGTTACAAATTAGTTCGGCCTGTTTGCTCCAGTTTAAAAGTTTTTGTTTCAACCATCATCTTGTTTGTGCTTCTTCATTAATAACTTAAAAGGTCCATACTATCCATACGCATACTTATATTATAATTTAAATATTTGCCTCTTTATTTTTAAGAAGTGTTCTGTTTAATAGTGGGTGTATAAAATCGGCAAACAACAAGTAAAAGGTCATCAAGGAAAGTTTTTCGGGATTCGGGTGTATAAAATTCGCCCAATAACATCAATATTGATTATGTTTGCTGCTGCCCTTCAGAGGATTCACCTGATGTGATTTGAAGCAGGAAAATCCCGCTTTGCTGTTACAATAAAGCACAATTTTTCAAATGCATTGGTGCAATATTCTATAGTAATGGGGGACAGTATCCGAAACTACACAGGTATTAAAAGTTAACTAAAATTTGTATATTAAAATATAATTATTTAGTATAGCTTCAAGAAAATAATAACTGGAAATTTAATTGACACCGGGTCAATACAGGCAATACAGATCAATATTGTATCTCCATACAGTGTGGTCACTCTGTGTACTTATGAAACATTTAATATCTGCAACATTCAAGAGATTAAATGCATTTAAAACTAATTTGAACTATGGAAAAGGAGATTTTTTTCGAGGGAAGACTTTTTCACGTTTTAGATGAACTGAATTAGTGTTATTAAATTTTATTTTATTTAAGAGTCTGTTTATAATGAATTGAGAGTAAATTTACATCCATCTTGGCTTACAAAAAAACTTATCTTAGACCTTGAGATTTCTCATATTTTATTTTAGTCAAAACCTCAAATCAGTATTTTTAATTTTGTAACCTGTTAGCTATATTATAATATGTGTATATATATATATATATATATATATATATATATATATATATATATATATATAGTTTGTATGACCTATATGTTATTTCGTAATATTTTTGTGAATTGTAGAACAAGTAAATAATTTCTAAAAAATGTAATTGTATTTGTAGGTTATTATGACCTTTAAGAAGGTTTATTTTTACTGTATATTATTTTAATGTAATCTTTATAAAACTCAGTTAGTTTCTATGAGCTGCAAAACATTTTTTTGATATACTTTTGTATTTTTCAATATATTATTGTAAGATACTTTACATACCTTTAACTGTAGGTGTTAAGAGATTCCTTTACATAACATGCGTAGAATATTTTAATTATAAAATTAAAAACAAAACTTACAATGATTGTAGTAACATTATATTTTTATAGAGAAAACAATTATAAAATGTTTACTGACGTTTATTAAAAAACAAATTATAATGCTTGGATGTAGTCTTCGTTACAGACAGGTGATAGTTTTCAATAACAAATTTAGCGAAACACAATTAAATAACTTTCAATAAAACTTAAAAAAAAAGTCATATGAAAAATCTACACCATAAACCAAAGAAGGGCAAGAAGTACTATTTTTAATTCCTCATTATTTTAAAAGTGTTTCAGCAAATTAATAATAAAAAATTTCCCGTGATTAACTTCTGCAAACAGTTTCTTTCACCCATGATGCTCGTAACTTTTTCCAAGTTCCGCTAAAATCACTTAAGTAATAACCAAAGTTTTGGGAGGGATGAACTTACATTTCGAGTTCTTTATGCAAAACAAAAAACTAAATATTTCACTGCCAAGTTGAAGACAATATATTTGAGAGCAACGACCCTGCTCAGTCCTCGTATCTGACGCAATTGTTGCGGAATTAATCCGACTATATTAAGCTCTCATTTTGTATCGAACTTCATTGTTAAACTTGGCTGATAAAGTTAATACAGAGGAATTATTTTCAAAGTTATCATAGATCTTTTGCAACTTCATGATCACGTACATTTTGATTAATTATAATTGAAGGACTGTGTATTTTTTCAGCAAATACAAAGAATGTAAGAATCGACGACAAATAATATGAGACAAAAATATGAGACAAAGAAGAACAATGACGAAAAATTTGGAAACGGCAAAGATTTGTTATGATATGGCAAAATCGGTAGCTCGTTTTGGTGTTTATCCTCATTAACACATAGGTGCGTTGTTGTAAACTAAACGTTCCATTTTATTTTAGGGAAAATTTTTACTAAAACACTAGAAGGTTATGAAATTAACGTTCTATTTTCATAATGGTTTGAACGTTTTATTGACGACGAAAAAATAAACAAATAAATTAACGATTAAATACAATTGCAACTGTGTACCTGAAGTTACCTTCCTCCTTACTTTGTTACCGCCTAGGCTTGCAACTGTTACCATATTGTTGTAGTTTACAACCGTTGCTTTAGGATATATATGCTATCGTGGAGAACTTGTAAATAAATTCGCATTTGCTTTGCTATCTTATGACACGTTTACAACTGCTACTCCAAGAGGGACTGTTATTAGCTACAACCGTTCCTTTGGTACCATCAGTTATGGTAAAAGCACTTGTAAATACATTCGTACAACAAACTTAGACGATTTAAAAACCTTTTAGGATTTTTACTTGCAACTGTAATTGGAAGCTATAGCAGAAGTAGGCTACTTGTAAATTATTCATTCGTATTAGATATATGTAAGCTTACACGCTTTAACTTTCATTGTGTGAAAATATTATTGCTAGTTACAACCGATACTTTGGCTATAAGCTGTAGTATAATTACTTATAGATATGATCGTCTTTACCTCGTAATTAAAGCCGTTTTACAACTGCTAATACATGCAACTGTTACTAGTTACAACCGTTACTTTGGGATCATAAGCTATAGTAGAAGTACCTGTAGATACCTTCTTCTTCGTTTCGCAACCTTCCCCTGAACCACGTTGCAGTCGCCATGTTTGAACACCACTCGTCTACGGACCCTTCTGGAGCTGAACCTGGTCTGTCGGTACCTGAAATCACGGTTACAACTGTTACTTTTTAGAAAACGTTATAAATAATAGTTTCACATTTGAAATTTTATCCCTTTATGTTTGATTATCACCTTTAAAACTGAAGTAGACATGACATCTTAACAGATTAGTAAGACGATGTGTTGTTCAAATAGTCGATCGAGCTACTCGAATACGCCACTGTCAAAATCCAGTTTTACCCATTAATAATTTATATCAAATAAGCTGGACATGACACAAAAGGTGTTATAGTTTACTATACGTTTTCCTTTCAGTTGTGTGGTGTCAAAAAGTTAGCGTATTTTACAGAAATCGGTAACTGTGACCAGTGCACTCTGCTTGTGGTTCAATCCAACTACTTATATTTTTATTATAAAACTAGCAACAGCTTTACATGGACATTATTTGCTTATTTATACTTCATTTATTTATACTTCTATCCAGTGAAAGTGTTTATCTTTTGTAATAGTAAAAATCAATATAGTTACTTTGATTTTAATCCCTGGTAAGCCAAATATTAGCCTACGACATTTAAAACTTGTACTGTATTTTTGTAATATATTTATAGAACACAATGTATATATACTGAATTAATGTCTAGCACAACAAAACATAAATAAACTACACTCTTTTTTGTCAAATTAAAAATTTAGAGCAAACATGTGAAATATTAGTTCTCATTTAAATGAAACAATACGATAAACTATGTGGGTTAATCGATTTACACAAGTATAACAAAACTGAACACAATTGTCCAAGAGTAGGCATAATAACAAAATCGTGAAGATATTTAAAAAGCCTTAGAATCGATTGCATTGATACAATTCTATGTTGTCTTTGATCTCAATTTATTATTATTAGTTTTGTGAAACGGTTGTATTAAGTGGCACGATTTAATTTTTTTTTAGTTTTTCCCAACAAAAAGTGACCTATTTTTGAAACCATGTTTAACGATTCTTACTCAAAACAAAGGTCTTCATTAGAGGATATTGTGTTCAGAATGTCAACAAGTTTTCTAGCTCAGCTAAAAAATAAACCTCTTAAAATAGCAAAACATTGTAAATGTTTTCTTAGAAACGTGATGCATTATATTCAATATGTATTCAATAATGAGCACACTTTATTATGCTCACGATTCTTATGTAGAAATTGTGTATAGACCATGAGCATTCTTTAATTTAATATATTTTATGAATCGACAATCATTAGTAAACGTGTGTGGTTTATTTTGTAATCCGGTATTTTTTTTCTAAGATGTTTTAACTTTCCTAGTTATTTTATACAATTATAAAATATTATAGTTTGAATTTACCAGCGAAAAACTACTATTTCAGTTTTGACGTTTTACAAGTACCTTCTATAACTACCTGGTCTTAATATTTTGGGTGAGTACACACTTTTTAAGTGTTTAATTTGTGACGAAAGCGTTAGAGTACTTAATAAAAAGAATCATTGAAACCATTGTTTTGAAACTATTTAGCTACATATCCCGTAGTATGAAAGTAGTATATTGAACTATGGTTTAGTATTTCTTTAAAATAAGTTTTCACTATAAGGGAACTGGTTGGATTAATATATATAGTGTACTTTTCATACACAGATATTGTTTTAACCGAAACTAAATACCCGTGCGTGAATCCATTGGCAGAAATTATATTACAAATACTTATAGGTACAATACAACTTCTATGTATACGATTTACCTGCTATGAAAGCATGTTATCACAAACAATGTATTGTGCATCTTAATAGGTCTCGGAATTTGCTTCCGAGGCAAAACGAATAACGCAATACCCTTTTTATTTACTTTTCAAAAATTATGTTTCTTTGACACAGTTATCATAGGTTAATTAACTACTAACTTATAATGCATTAAATTCGTTGATTTTATATCCACGCCATAATGAGTGAATTGCCTACCTCAATCAGGTTACAGTTACCAAATAAGTAGCCTATTTATAAATCTATTTACCTAGACTGTTTTAACTTTGTTACACTCTGGCTGTGAAATTCAACTGAAAGATCAGCAGTTCAAATTCAATTTCACATTCAAACCTTTATTAAGAAAATTGGTAAGCAATACTGAATCTTTGAAAGCGAACTTTAAAAATATATTAAACTCTAAGGGGAGAGAAACCCTAATGGAAATTACCTTTTTAGTAAACATTCATCCCTCCGCAAGATTATAAGCTTTAAAATGACACTTCAATTTCAAAAATATCTTAAGTAGGACGGGGGAAAAATTAACAGAGGAAACCCTTATCGCATTAAACTATAATGAGTTAAATCCATTTTACTTTACTTGCACCTAAAGAAGGAATGATGATGTGGCCGAAACGTCGTAACCTATTTTCCCCTCATCGCTCAAAGTCTAACTGCTCTACTCCCGTCAGTCTATTCCACTACGTTACTTAACAAGTTAGAGTTAGTTCTAACACTTTGATCTCCTCACACATAGACTTGGCCAAAGACCGAGCAATTATTGTAATTTCCGCAAATCGCTGAGAAATGTTTTCTCTCATTGGTCGACCACGAGGTCCAAAATAGACCCTGATGAAGATGAATACAGGTTGGCACGGTAGACGTTAGAAAATTGGATCTATGCAGAGCACATTCAATTATACAACTAACTAGCAACAGTGCCCGTTGTGGTTAAATACAACGGTCTCTAGTAAGATAATGGTTATGAAATCCATACACCACTTTACTCACTAATATTAATGGTACAGATTAAGCACATAACATTAGATAATTATATTATGCATACTGGTAAACCAATTATTGCCATCTATAAAAATTATTGGTTTTTCTTTTCCGAGTCGGGTTAGCTCTTTTACCCAACGGATTTTAATAATTTTGGTCTTAAACTAAAGGTATGAACGTACCACAGATTTGCCATAAAGCATCGGCATTCATTTTGACGTATATTTTCAAAGAATTTAAATTTTATTATTTTTATTTTTCGCTTCAATTAAAGTTGTATTCCAGCAGTTCTGTTTATTTTTATTTTTTCACCTCAAATATCTAATAAAATCAAACTTTCATAATTATTTGCAAATCTACACAAATTAGGCTTTCCAACGACCCATTAAGTAACAAAATCGGTCCGGTAGAAGTCTAGATTTAGTTGTACAAAGTTTAACAAAAATATATCTAATTCAGTATTTTCTCACTACTATAAATTTGGAGATCACTTAGATTATTGCCAATAACTTTTAAATGGTGGGGAAATCGACCAACGTGGATGGGATATTCTAAAAGAGAATAAAATTTACTACAAACAACTACTATGCATTTCTTGTAAATGCTTAATAAAGGCAGCCAAAAGCTGGCTACAAATATAAACTTGAAAACAGTAACTTTAAAAAGCTGTTTTTAATGTATTTTTGTTATTTTTACTTTTTTACCACAAAAATATAATAAAATCACACTTTCATAATTATTTGCAAATCTACATGAGTTGGGCTTTCCAATGACCCATTAATTAACAAAATCGGTCCAGTAGAAGTCTAGATTTAGTTGTACAAAGTTTAACAAAAATATCCCTAACTCAGTATTTTCTCTTTACTATAAATTCGGAGGTTGCTTAGCTTTTTTGCAAATAACTTTTAAATGGTGAGGAAATCGACTAAAGTGGAAGGTGATATTCTGAAAGAGAATAAAATTTCCTACAAATTGATACCATACACTTCTTGGAAACACTCAAAAAAGGCCGCAAAAAGTCGCACCCAAATAAAAGTGTGAAAAACACCGTTTTCAATGTATTTCTTATGGAAAACATGTTTTTTTTTAAAAATTCACCATAAATCATAACAAAAACAAACTTTCATAATTATTTGCAAATCTACACGACTTAAGCTTTCCAACGACCCATTAGTTAATAAAATCGGTCCAGTAGAACTATAGATTTAGTTGTACAAAGATTTTTAAAACTGAATTATATATAGAATAGATGAGACGATGGTTAATATGGTTTCAGAGAGATTTAGGACTAAACTGGAATAATACAAATCAGTAATAAACATGTAAATGAATACAAATAATCAAATAAAGTCATTGACTAAATATAAAAGTTGAATTAAGTTCAAATTTAGGATTAACACACTAAACACTTTTTTCATATAAAATAAGAAAACAATTAATTCTTTGTGTTTAAAAATATGTTTAAGTATAAAAATCCGTCCAATAACACATGACCATAATTTACACTTATACTGTTGACACACAAGATGGTAATATAAAAGATGGTAAGTGGTGATACTATAGACGAATCCATTTAAATATACTATTTCTAACATGTATAATATATATGCATTAAGTTCAACTTCAATGATAGAAACGGTTACCTACCATGGCACAATTTGGTCACGATCCCATCCAGCCTTACATTGCAGTTTGTCAGAAGTATATAGTTTTAATATTGCAAAAAAACTTAACATTTTATAAGGCATGGTAAAATGCCACACGCATTTGCATTTACTAGGGTACATCATCTGTCTTGGTCACAGACAATATAATGGCATGGTCCTACAATCCCGAATCCTACAGCATAGAATACAAAAAAACTTACAAGAATCCTAATTCTGTTCGTGCTATATGATTAGCTAACAATCTTTCGGTGCTGTGGGATTTTAAACTCAAGATTTGTTTCTTTGATATTTTGAAAATCAGTGCCAAAGCATTATTTCCGTATCCAAACACCGAATCATACTGTAACGAAATACCATTGGTATAATGTAATTCGTTACTGTACAACCATTCCTAAAAATAAATAAATAAATCTTACCCATACTTAATTTTACAAACATTCCACAAGCCAAAATAAATTGTCACATGGCAAAGTTCAAATAGAAAAAAGCAAGAAGTTGTCAAATGGTGTGAATGACAAACACAATCTGTTAGGGTAAACGACATCGGACATAGGTTAAAAGAGGTGAGATATGACGGAAGGGTAATTTAGCGTTTTGCCAACATGCCATGAATCTTGGGGAGTCGGATGTCAAATAAACACTTATCGATGATTGTTTTGGCAGATCCATCACATTCTAACAAGCCATTGCGATCAGTTTCAAACTTCAGCTTCCTTAAAACTCTAATTTTAAGCTGTTGTAAATGACTCACTTAGATATTTTCAAAATGTTTTTGTAGTTTTTGTTTGATAACCAAAACATTATTATATGTTTTGGTTGATGTTTGAAGTATAAAGTGACTCGTTGGAACGAGCTCCAAGGTGAAATGACAACCGAATTGGGTCAGGAAATAAACTTGTGTCTAACAGACAATGGTGTGATGAATAAATTTTTCACCCCACTTTACCATTCGTTAACCAAAATAACTTACAGTACATTTATAAAATATCCTCCCAAATATTTTCTCACAAAAGTTACGCTTTTCTCACCTTTAGTTTTTTTAACATGTTTAAGTTAAGGTAACTTTTTCTAAAATTTAACCTTTGTTAATCAACTCCAAACATTTTTTATATCTAGTTTTGCTAATACCGTATGGTAAAAATATGTCGTATTCCTGGAATTATTTTATTTCAATTTGTATAGATGTTAATCCTTGTACCCGTATAGCCTGTATAAAAATACATTCATGTTTAGTGACAACAATAATTGGGCAAATTATATAGTATCAGGAAAAAAACACTAGTTTTAATAATATCTCTAAAGCAATTACAATTTCTTCAAAAAGTGATCTTGATAATAAAAAAATAATGACCAATTACCAGGACACTTTTAGTAACCATACGATGTGTACAAAAACAACAAATGAAATAAAATAAAACGACATCAACAATTTATTTTTAAATAATTTAAATCAATATAACAAAATTCCTGCCATTAATCTATTAATCTAACGATATTTAGATAAACCTATCATAGTAATTAAGTTTCCTCAAAATACAATTGTAAATAAACTCTCGACATGTCCAGATATAATGCAATAATGTAAGAGTTTAAGAATAAACCATACAACTAAATTTACAACAACGTTGGTTTTGCCAAAGTGTGGAAAACCATTTCAACAATTAACGTCTAGATTTGGATGTTACACTTGACAATAGGCTATTAATATTTGAGTCCAGAACAACAATTTGTAACTCCATCCCAGCTGTTATGACAGTTACAAATACAAACACGTCACTAGCAAGAGGTGAGAATTTATAGATGGAAGGGACAATTGAGTCGCAAATAGCACAGACTTGGACGAGAGAATAGTGGGTAGGGGGCCGAGCTTGACTATGTGAATGGTCCCCACACCAACTAACGTTTTGCGTTACATATTCTTGGTTAAATTTTGCTACAGATTTGTGTTGCAGAATCGAGCTTTGTAAAATGAAAAGATGGGAATATATCACATCTATAGATCTGTCTTGTATAAAAGGTTCACAATTTGTTTGCGTTGCTAAAATGGTGATTTTTTTAAAGTTGGGGAATTGAAATAAATTTAGGGGCCAAACTTTGGTAGGTGAATAGTCCGAACACCAACAAATGTGTTCGTTTAGATATACTTGTAAACCATGATCAAAGTTTGCTACAGTTTTGTATGGTGGGCCGAGCTTTACAAAATTAAAAGTTAGGAATATTTTATTAGACGTTTCTCGTATAGATGTTTACCTGGAGGTTTCAATAAGATTAGAACATTTCTCAAAAATAATCAATGATCATTTAAATATCCAAATATCTTCAATTTATCAATTAGGCCTATATTCTTTTAAGATTGGGTAGACTCTAAAATCAAATAATTTATTGAGCCAGAATTAACAATTTATACAAGTTGTATTGGCTAAGTCAAAACTAAATATAAGTTGGATACACATACTTAAGAACTATTTACGGATATACAATCTTATACAATGTTTTAATAAAATGTTGGAATGTTTTGAAAACTGCCATTGTGAGAGTTGAAATAATTTCCTATATTTTATTGACATATAAGTCAAGGTCTAGTGTAATTTAACAGATCTGTGCGAGGAATTACTTACCACGGTGAAGACTTTTTCTTGAGAAGCGCTTCATCTTCAGAGTCTTCTTCCTCTTTGCATTTCCCATGAAAAACGCGCATTTCATTGGTCTCGGGACACATTTCACCCGGGGAGTAATTGATTTAGCGCATTCTATGTAAATTGTCAATAAACATATTTCTGAACCATTTTTGTTTTGGTGAAAAAAGTCTGATTTATAATTTACTTGGCCAACATCCAAAGTCCAAAACGTAGGCCTAACTGTAGTTATGTGGCTTAGTGTTTCCGTGGGAAATGTCGTCTTAGGCTATTTTCCTACTCTGTAAAAAATATGTTCATATACTTTAAAATTCTATTTCTAGAAAACAATATGATTTTTTATACGTAGAGAAAATGATTCTATTAACGGAAATTTCGAAATAATACTGCAAAGACATTTGTTGGAAATTTGACGCCCCTTATCTGGGCTATAGAACCGTCAGTCCATTTACAAAGTTGGGCCTGATTTCTACCTGTTATAAACATTCTGTAATATGATATATGTTATGTGTGCTTGTAATGGGGGGTTTAGGATGCCTAATTAAAAATATATTACGTCATGATTGGAGAGAGTAAACCATAACAGATATCGTTTTCTTCCTATAAAAACCTATCTTACCTAGTTGTTGGGTGGATGGGCTTTCCACCCCTTGGATCACTGTTTTATCACATTACTAAGATCTATTGCTAATTCTTGGGATTAGAACCCATTTACCCGACCAGAATATAACCAGAATACTGTATAACCAGAATATACCTGTGTTAAATGAGTGTTGGACATAAGTTTAACATCTTCTTTGGGAAAAAAGCTTTCAACAAAGCGTACCGCGGAATTTTAGTTTGGAACTTACGATGTAGGATATCTACAAAAAAGTCAAAACGTCACGTAAAATTTTGACCAAAAGGCTTAGACAAATTTTAAAATTAAAATCCTAAACAAAAGGAGAACCCCTCCGAAGATAATTGAATGTATATTTTTACATTAAGTCAAATTTTATATTTGAAAAACTGACGCGTTCATTCAATATACTTAACAATCACGTCAATAAATCCAAATTACATACTACAAAATTGTTGTTTAAAGACACATGACACCATTATTTTCAATATAACGTCTGCCAAACAGATAAAAACATATAGCTTGTTAGATGTAACGAATAATATTTAATTAACACATAGGTTAACACTCTTCATGCAAAAATCAAACGTTTAATATGGGTAAATTTGGTTTGATATTGACATAATTTAAAATTAGACTGGTCATAGAACTCTACGATGCGGAACTCCATTTTTCACTCACGTTAAAAATTGTAAATATATTTAAATAATCAAATAATTTAAAACAAAAACAAAATCGATCCTATATTTTAACAAAATTGACCATGCATTCTACTAATATTTAACCACATTAATTTCGTTAATTTCTTCGCTAAGTTATTTGAATTTCCAAACAATTATAAACTGCATACAAATTTTTACCATGCTGAACTCATACGTACAGATTGTAAACTTGGGTCAATAATGACATAAAGTCAGGCATCCGGATCATCTTTGCTGGGACATGGGACGCACTGATTCCTTCTTCATCCCGCAATTCCATAACATACTCTCATCCCATCTACATGTCTCGAGTCCCAAAAACTATGCAAGCTAAGTATAAGGCATTTGGTGAGTCTCAAAACTGTTTTATGTAATATTTCCCGAAGAATCGCCTTTAGGGTGAATCAAATTTGCAAGACGAAAATACTATAAAATATTTATTTTTAATGCATTGAAGTTAGTAAAGATATAAATTTCCTGGGTAATTTTCCGCATGAATACAAACCATTCGTAAGTATTAGTCAAACCAAAAAGAAGTCTTCAAAAATCTAATTTAAATAAAAAGTAACATTATGTTGAATTGTTATAATCGGATTAAATGTAACTACTGATGTGGTGTTTTACAGTTTTTTTTTGCGTTACAAAGTTTAAAAATTTACAAAAGTTAATTTTAAGTGGTTATGTTTCAATTCAGAAAACAAGCTGACATGTTTTAATTAAATCCGTACATATGCCCATGTCGTGTTAGGACTTGTAATTGAGTTTTAATCTATCACATAATTCCTTAGGGATGACCTGTTTACCAAGTTATCTGGTATCAATGTGAAGTCATAGTCTTATCGTTTGTTTTCGTGTTTTTTTTAAATATGTCCATTTAAGTGAAAATCAAATCAGGCAAGTGGAAATTCCCTTAGTCTGCAGGTTTGCTGTGGCGGGGGTATATCTTATGTTATTCGACTTTGCGTCACCATTAATTTTACTATTCAATTTGTTTTTTCTAGCGTTTAATCGGCGATATTCGGAATATTCTAAAGTAACCTTCTCTATAAATAAGATTGGCAGCCCTGTGTATCCAATTTGGCACTACTGACGAGTAAAGGCTTTGTTGGTTGAAATTTAGAATCTATTGAGGTTTGTCATCTAACTTACTAGTCACGATATGGATTTTGAAATTGGTCGGTTGCCTATACTATCATATAACTGCGAAGACCTCTGTTCTGACCAAATTACTTATACCACAGCAGTGCTTGTGCTTCATTGACTGTAGTTATACGCACAGATAAGCAAAAGACCATAAAGACAGCTGTTGAAGTTTTATTTGTAAATACCTAGTTTAAATTCATTAGTCGGTTAGCTAATATCTCTGGCTAAAACAATCAAATTTCGATTCAAGCTGTCAAGAGTCAAGAGTGTTCAAGAGCTTGTACGCCGGAACGAGTTCATGAACCAGTCCGATCAGACCTAAAGGGAATTAAGGGGGGAATTTGTACCCCAAAACTCCGTTCTTTGACTTTACTTAAAAAATTATTGATTCCATTAGGCGTTAATCAACTGATGATTCAGTATATTGAATATATTCATATTCTACGCCTTTTAATTATTGACACGAAACAGACTCAGTATCTTGTCCTCCGTATCCTTAAAAGATTACCTGAGATTGTTTGTTTATGAATATCGTTATTGGATTTAAAAAGTTCACTTTACAATTACTGGAAAATTGTATACAATGCCGTAACCTAATCTGCCTAGTAAACATTTGTTTGAATTTTAGAAAACAGTTACAGCGTTCAAGCTTAATTGAGTTGAACTTTTTTGTAAGTTTAAGTATAATAAATTAAACATGAGACAAAAATGTATATTAAGATTAGAAATTATGTATTTCGTTTCTTCCTAGGTGGAATTTTGTCGGGCATATGAGTTTGTTGTGAGTTTTCGTAATATTTTTAATTTATCTGCACCAAAATTAGGTCGAATACTGTAAAATGTATTTTGGTAGCCTGTCTTTCTTTTAAGCAAAAACTATTGGACCACATTAGGTAAAATTATTCTAAAAGCCTATTGGCCGAGGAGCGTAATGTAAGTATTTACTTATTGAATTGAGTTATTTTTAACAATATGCATGTGCTTGTGAAGAAAATATAATTATTTTTATTTTTAAAAATTGTATTATAGGTCAATAATGCAAATGCATACAAACTTAATGTGGCTTTCTAAGTGTAAAACACTATCTAAAATTCACTATTCACATTTCAAACTAACGCCGAAAATCCTATCAAAGTTATTCACTTTCCACAGAACAAATACACCGTTTCACCGGCACAGAAGGAAATAATTCACAAAAATTAAGCGCGCTTAAACAAATTACGCGCAAAAGACAACATGGTCGTACTAGGTGTAAAGTTAGCACTGAACTGTTTGTCAGCTGATATTTTGCCAATGGGACATCTGTTTTTAGACATCAGCTGATTAGAATAACGCTTCCATTGTTGTCTGCAGCTTGTAAACATAACCTCAAAATCATTACAAGAAAATAAGTGCTCCTGACGCCAATATGGTAATAAAGCGACAAAGATGTCAGCTGTTTGTTGTACTTTGAGAGGCCATGAATGGTCCTTGGTGTCACTGGGTTATTGATAACAATTTTATTGATTGGATTTTGCAGGTTTTATGGCTAATAACTAGTTAAAGCAAGTTTTCCATGGTTATACAGTATAGTTATGGAACTGTTGACCCATGTTTTTAAAAATAACTTAACTTCTAGTTACTTTAGTTTTTATACTTTCGACTACAGGATAATACTTTAGTTTTTATCCTGCAGAAATGTGCCCTTATTAATTTTTTTAAATATGAACCTGTTTTCTTTATTCATACTTAGAAGGCCAAATAAATATTGTGGCAAATTGATAGCAATATTATGGTCATAGCGTTAAATTTGTATCATGCCGATGTTTCTATAAAATGTATAAAATTACAAATAAATCTATGAATGTTGGTTAACCATGTTTAATGACCTTAATAAAAATATTATAGTAAAATTATCATTGTATTAGATATTCCTGGATAATTGGTTTTACCGTTGACTTTTAGACACTGCAGGTTTTACCTACGGTACTAATAACCCACAATAAGTTCAAACAAGTGATACCACAGAGTATTATTGTATAATAATAGAGACATGTATTGATATATTGATTGGCGGTATTTGAACCCTAAGATAAATGTCCCACGTTATAACCATTTCAAAAACTACAATCCTGTGAATAAAATAGTGCAAGGATTGTAAAAACCCGAGTGAATAGCACAAGAAAAAAATCCTAAAAAAATAACTCAATCTTAACTTTATATCCAGTACAATACTACACCACGTATAATATAAATTGTTTAAATAAATCTATAGTATCACAAAAACTGACAAAAACTTTCAGTATTACAAACACTTATTGTTTGCCAATCTATCTTGCAAGTTGATAGATCCCCAAAATATTGCAGCGCCCTCTAGCAAGTGTACGCAATATGCCACACAGTCCTGCATTGCGGGGGACGTTAGCGACGATCGGGCGCTAATATGGGAGCGATACTGTATTACGGCGCTGGCCGCAGCTGCTGAAATTTGGCGGGAAAATGTCTCTAGTATTGCAACATTATTTTGCTGATGTACCGGTATTTAAATGTTTGTGCATTTTAACTTGATTATTAAGTAATAAGGTTGTTTAAAGTCTGTGGGTTTTATGTTTAGTGTCTTTCAATAGTAGACCATATTCTGGTTTAGTTTAATAAATTTAAAAAAGTAAAGCTAGATTTTTGTTTATTTTTAAATTGTTAATTTGTAATTGGATGGAAATCACAACAGCCTAATTTCTAGCTTTTCAGATTAACTGTTCAGCCCCAGACTATTATTTTTAGTCTTTCCCTTATCTGATGATATATTTTGATTTAGTTAACTGCTTTTTGGCTCTATCTGATATTAGTTGGTATTAATAAAAAAATATTATCAAATATATAAGTTGGTTTGCAAGTCTTAAAAATATTCTATCCACGTCAGTTGGTTAATTCTTATTTTTTGCATATGTATGATATGATTATTGTAAAAAAAACTAATTTTACTTGTTTGTGTACATCAGTTACAGTTATCAAGATAATTTATCTAGCAGTTATATAACCTTCAACTCTAAAGAAGGTTCAATCCTAAGAGTTATCGATTCTGGAACCAAATTAGATTTATCGTTGCAGCATACTATTTATGCTAGTTTATAATTAGAGGAAAAACTATCTTGAAGGCTTGCAAAATAATTAAATCTACAAATCAGTAGATAAAGAAATAGACGAATTTAGATTCCAATTGTATCAAGTTGTTTGTAAAGATACAGTCGAGTCACTTCAAGGTATCCGTACGAGACACAAACTAACAAATTGAAATATGTATTGTTGTGAAGATAATATGTTGCGCTAGATTAACTAACACGCTTGCAAACTCATTATATTTCACAGTTTAAAATACTTCTGTCACCTACGTGTGAAGAGGAGAAGACGTCCAATGATATAATTAGATACAAGGATCTTCATTGTTTGATAAAATAATAGTGTTATGCGAGGTTATGATTAATTGTGGTTGCTTTATAAAGTGTTTTAGCTCTTAAAAGCTGTAAATACTTTTCTCCGTGGTGTGGCTCAGGTGTGAGGAGATTTACCACACAATTATAAGGTGGTTGTCAAGGTGAAAATGTAAATTTGATGAAATAGAATAATGAAAGAAAGTTAACTTCAGAGAATAAAAGAGTGAGAGTAGGATAATGCATAGAGGGGGACGTAAAAACTTGAAGGCCAAAAAGTATGAAAAGAGGCCATCCTGAAGGCACAAAATAAAAAAGGCGAACTTAAAAAGAAAATAATGGTAAAGAGCAAATAAATATTATTTTTATCCTAGGGGGAAATCGTTAGAGCTGTTTCTTATATCTTTGTGCACACGGACCTAAATCAAATTAGTGTACAATATTATTATTATTGTCATACTATAGATATATTGCTATATGTGTAAAATATCAATTCACAAAAACGTTAGACACCTTCAGTATCTATTGAAATATGCAACTGTAATAGGAGGGGTAAAATATTGTGAAGAGGAAGTGTTTGACAATTTTATGCGGGGAGGCTGGAAATGTTGTTAAACAATTAGTACAGGTAATATAGGGTTTTTAAACAACAAAATTTGTACATTCATGAAATTTCACCTGTGAGTTACTAATAATACGAGAAATGAAGATCCGATGAGTCCCCAAAATTTTGGGCGTCCTAAGGCCCTTTTGGGGCCCTTTTTGATCCGAAGGGCCCTTGTTCCTGAATAATTTTCTTTTTACGTTTAAGGTCGAGTGAGGTGTGGTTTTCGATGGTTTTAGTTATTTTAAATCGATAAGGACTAGTTTTAAGTGTATTAAACCACCCCATATAGGGTGTTTCGAAATATTATTACTTTTTATGATATTTAAACATTTATTCATAAAGTAATAAAATTAGTTACCTCCATGCTCTATATAAAGGGGGATTATTGAAAATAATTGTAATTCTTTACCACGTAAGGGGAAAGGATCACAATGAGTAAGAGAAAATATTAAATACCCTCGTCGCAGCAAACCTGCAGACCTAGCAAATTTCCGTTTTACCTACTAGATTTTCAATTAAATCTAAAATAGCATTGTGTTTAACGATTACCTAGGTTTGCTGCTACAAGGAGGCTAATAAAGTGTGTTTATAGTAAAATATGAATAGCCTAGTATAAAACAAAAAAATTGACAAGTTTGATCAAGATCTATTAACAAACAAACAAAATCATTTTACACTATTCTACATAAGAACACATGGGAATTTTAAATTTACAAATTTAGTATTTTTATCCGTAACTAATAACCATACAAAAACACGTTAATATACTAAATTATTTGTTTTTAAGCTATTTAAAATGTTCTAGAGAAAAATTGGGAAACTTTGTGTTTTGAGGGTGAAGTAAATCAGAAAACCCAATTTTTACCCCATAAACCTCGTTCCCATTGTTCAGAACAAAAATGCTTGTACCAACAATGCTGCTCTGATGTCTTAGTGCTGTCCTGGTCGTCATAACCACGAAAGACAACCGTACTTGTATTGATTGAAAATAATTTTGAGGAAATTAAGGTACAAGTTGCAAACGTCAGTATGTATGAAAGGTGTTTTTGCACCACATTGTTCGTGCTTTAAGATTGGTGTTGCCTGTTCTGCAATATACAAGGTTTGTAAAGGGGAATCCTGCTTGAACACCAACATGGACAAAATCAGTAAAGATGGACAAGTTGCTAAGAATAATAAAATTGTTAATGAGTTGTCTGAGAATAATTATTGTGATGATGGAATTGTAAAGAGAGATACTACGGAAATTGTAGAAAAATAGCTTTAGTTTAAGTACTTAATTTTAATATGTAATGTAAGGTTTTATACAAAAACAATTGTTTTGATTTTTAATAAATGTAAAAAAAACTTAAATAACTACCTCAGAAAAATACATATCAATTTGAAATTGGTCTTAATAGATTTGAATGGAAAACACATTGAAAGATTATTCACACCACCTTAAAAGTTGAAATTTTTGCGTAGTAACCTATGTTATTATGTTATAGTGTAAAACTTAATCCATCCCCTTTTAGCAAACTTCCCATATAGGAAATAAGCTATTACCGAAGGTCTTATGGTAAAACATAGACTCGAAACCGATTTACGTTTTCATTATGATGCCCCCAGAAGCCTAAAGCACCCTTAGAGGACTGTTGTTTAGAGGGTTGCTAGATAACTCAAAATATTATAAATGTGTTTATATACATATATATAATATAACATATCCATGTTACATGCGTAAACATGATAACTCGAGTAATTTGGGTTCATATTTAACGAAACCTGCATAATCGGTCCTTGGAACAGGGTTTTATGTGGTATAAATTTGTAATCTTTGTGACCCTCAAAACACAAAGTTTCCCAATTTTTCTCTAGAGCATTTAAAGAGCTTAAAGAAAACAAATAATTTAGTATATTAACGTGTTTTGTAAGTGTATTAGTTACGAATAAAATTCAAAAATTTTAAATTTAAAATTCCATGATATTCTTAAGGAGAATAGTGTAAAATGATTTTGTTTATTTGTTTATATATATATATCTTAATAAAACTTTTCAAATTTATTTGTTTTATACTAGGCTATTAATATTTTACTATAAACACACTTTATTAGCCTCCTTGTAGCAGCAAACCTAAGTATTCATTAAACTCAATGCTATTAGTTATTTAGTTAATTGAAAATCGGGCAAAGAAAATTCACTTAGTCTGCAGGTTTGCTGTGACGGGGGTATTTAATATTTTCTCTTACTCCTTGTGAT